TTTTTTTCATATATTTGTTTTCAAGTATCAATTTTATTCTTTTATACTATCTCATGAAGATGTGAGGGTAGTGATAAGAAAGAATATCGATGAATATATCCTATTGCTATGCTAGGGTTTTATCTCATTATCTACTATAGAAAGCAATCTTTTTTTATTCTTTTTTTTTGGAAATATAAGGATTCTGTTTATGTTTATTTGACAAAGTAAAGATAAAGTAATTTGCCTAATTGGAATAATAGCAAAGATCAAAGATTAACGACTGATGGTGTTTTTGATGATACTGTCTTTTTGTATGAGAACATGTTATTTATTAGTTATTGTTATTTTTGCTGTTTGATTTGATGAAAACTAAATGCTCATTATGACGTATGTCTACACCGATCAAGCCGAGATGTATATTCTTTCGTAAAGAACTTTATTGCTTGCAATTTGATTGTATTTTATTAGTTGATATAGCTTAATGGTACTATACTATTTTGTTGAAAACCGTTGACACACGATCCATTTTCCTTTCTATTGTATTACACACTTATCTTAAACAAAATAAAATAAACGTAAAAAATAAGTAAAACAAAAAGATATACCTCCTATAGATCAAGTTCATCCATTATATGACTTAAACTGAATAAAACAAATTAAAAGAAACCTAGTAAAGAAAAAAAATACTCATGCCTGATTGAGTGTATAAGTTAAGCTTCTTCTGGTGTGAGAGGTAAAAAGGGTGGGGGCCCAGTGTTGCCAACTCTTCCGGTTTTTCCAGAAAAATTCTGGATTTTCCTACTTTTTCTGGATTTTTTCCGGGTTCCGGATTTTTTCGGTTTTCAGATGGCTTTTATTGAATTAAGTTTTACCTATTTCTTAATACCCAAAAAAAATTTTATTTGACAGCGGCTCAGTGGCTAATAGCTCTTATATATTTAGTTTATTCTATTTTGAGTTTTGATGTTGATTTCCTTTTGATATATAGAAACATGTGTTTTTTGAAATAATAAGTGGTATAATCGAGAACAAGATTTTAAGAAACTTATTTTAGCCGGTAGAAATTAACTGTTAAAAACCTTTCCGGATTTAACAAAAAAAGTTTCCGGAAATTTCCGGATTTTCATACTAATATTCCGGTTTTCTGACAATGACAGTTGGCATCACTGAAGGGGGCACATAAGAGGCTGGATTGGCCCACTAATATTTTTTTCGACTAACCCTGTTTAATCATACATCGAGCGAGAAAACATTTAGAGAGTGTCGATTTGGCGCGAATTTCATGGGATTTTCACTCAGTTTTGAAAACCAAAAGTTGCTAACAAGATTGCCTGCTTTGCGGAGTTGGGCTCGATTCGGTTCGTACTTATATAAAAGTTAAAGCGGTTCGGTTTGAAATTTTGAAAAGAGTCGTCCGATTTAGTTCGGTTCGAAAGAATTGATAGTAATTAATATTTATTTTAGTTCATTGGTTTTCTATTTTGGTAAAAAATGACAAAAATCCTGCTAGAAAGTGGAATGACATCATAATCAGAAGTCACTCGTAAATGATATGGTTCAACTATTTTCTAGTTGAATAAAAATATGAGCAAATTCTAATGCACGTGAACAATGAATAAATGATTAATCTACATCGCTTTTGGTTTTACTGTCTTTATAAGTTTATTATATACTGATGTTTGGGTGTGGGTGTGGATGATGATGAAGGGAATACCCGCATGCATCCACACTCACACCCACCCACCGCTGAAAAAGTTGCTGAAGTAGGTTTCGAAACAGTTTTTGAGGAAGTTGTTAGTTTAGTGAGAAGTGTTTTGATCAAAATTGGACTATTTTAACACATGAAAAATATGATCGACTAAAAACATATTCGCTATTTCTTGACAAAATCTTGATAGAAATGCTAGTGAAATTTTTTTTAGATTAAAGGCTCATTATAAACTATCATCTATGACAAAAACTATGTCGCAAAAGATTCATATAAGGGTTTCCAATGTAAACTAGATGATAACCATATTCGAATGTTCCTTTCTAGTGTGGATACGTACTCACAGCATGATCAGTGCACGATATGCTCAGACAGCATCCATATTGACAAACGGAAATGTCTTAGTTGCTGGTGGATCCAGTGTGATGGGTGGCACATTGAGTAGTGCAGTGTATAATCCATCCATAGGACTCTGGACAACTTCTGGCAATTTGAATACTGCAAGAATGTTTCACACGCAAGTCATATTGACAAACGGAAATGTCTTAGTTGCTGGTGGAACCACCGATAGCAACTCCGGATTGAGTAGTGCAGAAGTGTACAATCCATCCACAGGACGTTGGACAACTACTGGCGACATGAGCAATGCACGATTCTATCACACAGCATCCATATTGACAAACGGAAATGTCTTAGTTGCTGGTGGAACCACCGATAGCAACTCCGGATTGAGTAGTGCAGAAGTGTACAATCCATCCACAGGACGTTGGACAACTACTGGCGACATGATCAGTGCACGATATGCTCATACAGCATCCATATTGCCAAACGGAGATGTCTTAGTTACCGGTGGAATCACTGATAGCAACTCCGGATTGAGTAGTGCAGAAGTGTACAATCCATCCACAGGACGTTGGACAACTATTGGCGACATGAGCAATGCACGAACGTTTCACACGCAAGTCACATTGACAAACGGAAATGTCTTAGTTACTGGTGGAACCACTGATAGCAACTCCGGATTGAGTAGTGCAGAAGTGTACAATCCATCTACAGGACTCTGGACAACTATTGGTACCATGAGCAGCGCACGATTCTATCACACAGCATCCATATTGACAAACGGAAATGTTTTAGTTGCTGGTGGAGTCAATGGCAGTACTGCATTCAGTAGTGCAGAAATGTACAATGCATCCACAGGACGTTGGACAACTACTGGCGACATGAGCAGTGCACGATATGCTCACACAGCATCCATATTAAAAAACGGAAATGTCTTAGTTTCTGGTGGAGTCTCTGGTAATATAATCATATTGAGTAGTGCAGAAATATATGGATGATGATGACTGGAGTGTAATGCTCTTGATTAGTCAACGATTTGCAATGCATTAGAATATTTAATCTTCGATTCTTTCAAAACACTATCATGCCATCAGCACAGACTTCAGTCATTGTTTTTCTCTTCTTTCGGTTGGGTGTCATTATTTGTTACCTTTGTCTGCTTTTCTCTCGTGTTCTCTTTTTTTCTCTTCTTCATCATTGATATGTGCATCGATCGTTCTCTCACGTACAATTCTCTCTAAATGCATTGTTCTCTTTACTTTTCTTTTTCAGCAGCTTGTAAGATTTCTTTTTTCGAGATTTATTTGAGTTTTTTCAATAAATACTAGGCTTTATTTGTTCTATGGAAATTACTACATTTTAGCAATGAGTTTCTGAATTTATTGGGATTTATTTTTCGAGATTTATTCGATTTTTTTGTTAAATTTCGGAATTTATCAAATAACTCGGAAAAAAAGAGAGAACTTATTGACAATTGGTTATGAATTTCAGAATTTAATTTCATCTGGTACAGATTCTCTTTTCATTGACTTATCGCTATAAAACATACTCTCATCTTTCATATTAAATATTGTCTACAAATCTTAAGATCAAAATGCTCTATATTATTTGTCTTTGTTTTGATTATACTGTTTCTGAAATGTAATGATAGATAAAGGCTCTCTAATGAAAATCTTTGATATTCCAGCGCCGAATCTTTGAAAAATCTGACCAGGATCCTGCAACGATATTCTTTTTTTGCTTGAGGAAACGACTAAATCTTGAAGGAAGCGTGTAGCGATAGATTTTCGGAATCCTGACAAGCTCATCCTTGTTTCTTAAATTAAAATCAAGTCAGAAAATCGATAAATCCTAAAAGAAGCGTGTAGCCATGGAATTACAAGATTCTGTCAGGATTTCAATTATTTAAATTTGAAATAAAAAAGATTTCCGTTTACATTTTTCAAGATATGGTTCTTTTCTCGAGTATCTGATCAAATTTCTTGGCAGGATCTTTGCATGCTTTTCTAAATCGAACAGAAAATATATGAACACATAGACTATCGATCTATAGACCTTCAGTTTTGCATACTGATAGCTTACCCAGCTAGATGTGACATGTTATTCTATATCACTTCAACGTTTAATATCCTCATTTTTAAGGTTAATTTAAACTTCTATTTGCATTTTTGTGAATAAAAACTATTTCACAAAAATTCTGGAAATGCAGTACAATTTTATATATTTACTTTAGTTGGTGAAGTTTTAATATTTTCTTTTCGCGTTCGATTTAGAAATATATTTTGATTTTTTTTTTGGATACTAAAAAATAAAAGTAGCTTTAATCGAAAAATCTGCTGATGAGTAAAACCATCCAATTAACAGAAAAAGTTCTTTGATGACTAAATTAAAATTAAAATTTCAATTCAATAATTTTCAAATCTTGAACAAATTTTGACGTAAAACTAGCTGAAAACGTTTGGGCATCGTTTCATTCATTCTTACTACGATTCTTTTAGGATCCTGAGACAAAAGTTATGAGTAGCTTGTAAATATTAACCTGAAAAGATCTTGGCTAGATCCTTATATTTTCTTATCAAAGTCTCGATCATACTTGTACTTTTTTTAAGACTTCGGAATACTTGTTCTTAAATATCTCCGCACAGGATTCTGATCGAAGTTTATCAAGATTATTCAGTTAAGGATTTTTGCTGATCTAGTTTTATTCCTGTTAAGATTCTTCTCTAGAATAATATAATTTTTCAAAGGATCCTTATATCAGGATCTAAAAGAGATTTTGAGTCAAACCTGATGAAATTTTGGCACAATCCATTCTATAATTTTTGTTCGAATCCTGAATAAGATCGCAGCTAAATCTTGAAAGGATCCTGCAGTATCAGCCTAAAGAAATCTAAAAGAAAATTCCGAATCAAGTCTGACAGGATCTAGGGGATTCATGATTTCAACAGATCTTTCAAGGCTATCTTATGGAGTGAACACGATTGAGTACAGTGAACAGCAACTTGTAAAGTCTTCGACAAATCCTTATATTTCCTCCTCAAGATATCGATTAGTTTTGACATTGTCTTGCAAGATGTGAAAGTGCATATTCCTAAAAAGTTCTGAGCAAGATTTTGATTGAAGCTTTGATGAATCAGTTAGTGTCGTATTCTGACCGATCTTGTAATTTTCTTATCAAGATCCTCGTTTGATATGACTATGACTCCTGACAAGATCCTTGTACAAAGATTTGATCTAGATCTTGATGAAAACCTGATTAAATGTTGACAGAATCCTCTTTCATCACCTTTAGAAGATCCATCTCGGGATCTTGAGTAAATCCTGGTAGGATCCTGTATTCTTATGCCAGAAAAATATCTGAGGAGGAACTTGAAGTAATCCTGAACAGGTCCCTGTTCCACTTTCAAAAATCCTGTAGACAGGAGTTAATATAGGGATGAACCAATTCCAATTTCAACCAATTCTAGAATTGGAACTGAACTGAGTTGGAGTTGGTACACGCCTAATTGAAACTTAACAACATCTAACGAAAAGTAGAAATATATATAAGAACTATAAATAATAATATAACGTATTTTAAGGAAAAAAACGCATTTAAAAATAAAAAAGATTGTTTCGTATCCTCTTGAATTAATAAAATAAATATTAAAAGTTTTACTCTATCGATAGAGTAAAATTAACGTGGAGAACCAAACATATTTAGACGCACCGTTCCTGGCGCAAATTTCGATGGCATTAGACCTTTAGGTGGTCCAGAACTATGATGATCAGATGAGGTTAAATCAGAACTTGTCGACTCTTCTCGACGACCTGTTTCACGAGTATTGTTTTCTTGAGATGATGAATTTTTCTGCGTGATGATCCTAATAGAAGATAATCCGATTCGACTTCTTTCATTTGAATAATAAAAAGACCATTTCCAGAATCGAGACATGAAACAACTTTAAACTTTCGTGCAGCAACTAATAAAATTTCATCTTCAGTTGGAAAGAATGAATATTGTTGAATATTTTTACCAGATTCACAATCAATATTGAAGAGAGTTCTATCTCCTGTTCTACCACGAAATTATTCAGATTGAAGCACTTGTACTGAATTTGTACATGATGAAAATCCCCACCAAGTAAATATTTGTCCTTGTGGATATTGTGCACTTAAATCCATTTTTACTCCTCGATAAATAGTTTGATTAACTGATGATAATTTCTCAAGTGAAGAAATAAAAAGTTCCAAATAAAGTTGCCATGGTTGTAGTTTTTCTTTATCTTCAGCTCGTTAAGTATTATTTAATATAATATAAAAAGAATTTTCTCTTGGTTCTCATTTTAATAAATACAACATGATTGAAGCAGATTCGTTCGGCGTTAAACCATCTTTTGGTTTATCACATTTTTTTGCTTTAGATACCATTTCTTTGAAATTGGAAACAAGTGAAACTAATGGCTCAACTGTTTCTTCAAGTGAAACAACCGATATATCGTCAAAATTTTCAATTGGTTTTCTCATTTCTTGTGATGGTGCTAACTCATCGAGTATCCGATGAGCATGTTATAGTTTGAAATCTTTTAAAAAACGTGCAGCCATTTTAAAATGTAAATAAATGAACAAAAATCTATAAACGGTGGGTGCAAGTGTGGGTGGGTGTGAGTGTGAGAGAAGAAGAAACGCTCATGCTCACCCACAATCTCTCACACACTCACACCCACACCCACACCCACACCCTTGTCGATTATTTAAAATGATTGTTGATAAAAATAAAATATGCGATTTGAAATTTAATAATCGATGTTTTATTTATTTCTCTTATATGCAAATTTAAAAAAAAAGAATCTCTTGAATATCATCAGCGAAATCATATTCGAAATCATTTATGTAGATTAGATTTATAAAAAACGATTACAAAGCGAAGAAGTACGTAGGAAAAATTGATGACAAAGAACTCGATGTAATGGAAAAGTACCAGCGACATTATAATATTTCCTACTTGATCAGAAAATCAATTTGACTTGAAAGCAGTTGTGGAATCTCAAATTTATCACTAAACTGAAGAATATTTGAGATTATGGATGTGATTAAATTCTGTTTGTCATTTCTAAAAGTTTATTGTTGATCAATTTCTTCTTTTTTCCAACACAAGAAAAACATGATGTCATGATAATTGTTCAATGAACTAAAATCAATGATTTGAAAATCTAAATGACTGAAAAAGAAAAAAGGCTTTGAAATGAAGAGAAAAAATATTCGTATATAAATGTCAATTCATCTGTCACAATAAATTATTTGATTTGCATTTTATTTTATTCATAATAATTAAAAGATTTAGGAATAGCGTAAGGAAAAACGAGACATTCATTCGATTCCAAACCACATTACACCACATCTACATCCAGATTTGATATTTAAATACGAACACAATTACATTCAAAAAGCGATTCAGAAAATAAGCAAACAGAAAAGAGGGGCATCTTTTGATAATTAATATGTACTTTTAGTCAGTTAAATATTTTCTAAACATATCACTCGGGAAATCGTCCTCTCATCTCAAATTCTGAGTAAGAGACACAATTTCCATCTCCTTTTTTCAACGTGATGATAATGCGATAGCTTGCAAACGATAATGAATCATTGGGTATTGTTTGGTAATCACCATACGCTCGTCTTCCTGGAACTTTCGCGAGACCTGCATCACCGTCATAAATCAAATTCCAACTTTTTCCGAAAACTAAATCGGATTCATTATTGTTGCTACCTTCGATTGTAATTGTGTTTGGATCTCGCTCTGGAGAATGTTTGTTTGTAGCTATACGAAACTTCACGAGAATGAACGGTGTACTGTTGAATGTTACATAGAAACCAGTTTGTATTCCGCATTCATTTTTTAATGGATCAGATGCAGAACAAATCCCATGATTGGTATATTCTGAACTTAAATTACCATCTAATGCAGCTTCAGGTGGTTCACCAGGATAATATGTACCTGGTTTTTGGCCGGGTGAAGATGGTGAACTATCATCACCTGCAGTTGTATTCCATATAGCATAGACCGTTTCGTTTGTTCGTTGAAATGTTTGTAAAACTATATAAAATCACCAAAAGAAAGGGGTGAGGGTGTGGGTGTGGGTGTGGGTGTGGGTGGGTGTGGGTGTGGGTGTGGGTGGGTGTGGGTGTGGTTGTGGGTGTGAGTGTGGGTGTGGGTGTGGGTATCACAGACACAATATGCACACACCCACACCCACACTCATCTGGACTTGCTTGGTGTAAATATACGTCACAATAAGCATTTAGTTTTCATCAAATTAAATACAGCAAAAACTAATAAATAACATATTCTCATACAAAAAGACAGTATTATCAGAAACACCATCATTCATTAATCTTCGATCTTTGCTATTATTTCAATTAGACAAATTACTTTATCTTTATCTTATCAAATAAACATAAATAGAATCCTTATATTTCCAAAAAGGAACAAAAAAATTTCTTTCTATAGTAGATAATGAGATAAATCTCCAGCATAGCAACAGGATATAGTAATCGATATTCTTTCTTATCACTGCCCTCACATCTTCATGTGATATTATAAAAAAATGAAGATGATACTTGAAAAAATATATGAAATAAATTTTTTCAGATACTTTACTTATATCTATGGTATCTGGCTTTTTGTAAGTTACATAGAAAAAACAGGATTTCTAGAAAATACATTTCTTTATTTTTATAAAATAAAGAGTTTTTATATTTATTCTTTCTTATACAGAATAATCGAAATAATGAAATATTTGTGATTTCAATCAGATTAGACAAGTAAGAATCAACTAACAATATATGATTGATGTTTTTTCATTAAATAGCCTGTTATAAGTTATTGTAAGTAATTGATCAACTTCTTTTTATCTCTCTTTGAATACAGACATACCTGCTTCGTCTGTTGTTGTTGTTGTTGTTGTTGTTGTCGTTGTTAATGGAGTTTTTGTTGTTGTTGATCCCGGTTCTGCTGTTGTTCTTGATGATTTTGTGGTTGCTAACATCGATGTTGTTGACCCTTCTCCTGTTGTCATCATTATTGTTGTTAAATTTGTTTCAACAACGCTTCTCTTTTTCGCGAGAATAATAGCAGTTGCAATAGTAATGATCGCTATTATCACAATAGTAAATATGATCCACGTCACTTTACTTCGAATGCACACACATCTAAAATAATTTTCTTTTTAATTCATTCAAACTCAGAATACACATACCGTCTTGTCGATTGTGTACGTTGTGCTTCACCTATATCGCTGTTAACTGACTGAGGCTACAAAATAAAGAAAAAAAAACAAGTTAGTTTCTGTTTTTTCCTATAATAAATTATATCACAAACACTTATTCTATTTTGTTTCTCCATTTGTAGATCTTCGTCAAAATTTTGTAATGTTATTAAATTAAATCTGAAAAAGAATTTCGGAAAAAGATGATATAAAAAAACTTTTAGATTTAAAGGCAGTTTAATATCTAGAGAATCATATCATGAAGATATAACAGTTTTTAATATCAAACACTTATTTGAGTCGGCTTAGAATCAAAATGAAGAAAAACAAAGTTGGAGATGCATAAATAGGGGAAAAAAGTTTGTCTATTTGATAAGATTATTCATCATAAACTTAATAAATGAAGATTTTATTGCAAAGTTTAAGAGAAAACAAAAAAACATGCTTTTTATTATTCAGTATCTATCATTGACTTAATAAATCAAAATATTTCTAATAATGTTAGGAAAAGTAAAATCATGCTTTTCTCCCCCAGATTCATCAATCATAAAAGATTAGAATAAGTAAAGAATATATACGTAGGTGTCTAACATATAGAAAAAAAAGTACAAGAATAATTTAGATATAATTATAAATCATATTTTGAACTTTTATGCCATTCAACAAGAACTACATGAGTTTGTGTACAAAATGTCCTTAAATTAAAACGATATATTATCACTTACTGGGACAAAGATACATGTATTGATATCAAAACATTCACTAACCCTGATTCTGAGAATCATTGAAATTGGTATTCATCGTATCATTACTTCTATGTTTTTTGAGCAGATTCATGTTTTTATATATTCTTTTTCATCAAGCTCCGAGATACTATTTCATTCGTATTCGTGTATCTCATTTTTTGAGAGAAAATTTTAATTCATCTTCCAATATGCTTTTAGAAAACTCTTGATTTCGATTGAATTAATATTTTTGTTTTTATCAAAAACTCTTTGAAGTTGATTGATATGATTTGAATTGAATAAGAAATGTTTTTATGTATTTCTCATTCATTTTATTTTATATTAGTAGAGAAGAGAGATTAAAGATTTTTTTTCATTACAACCGATTCATTTATGATAAACATATTTCGAGAATATTTCAAAAGTTAGACATTTATTTCATTTTATTTCTAAATTCTTTGGTTTTGTAATATGATTTGCTAATCATAATTGTTCATAATGAATTCAAAAAAACAATAATTAAGCTTTACTTGATTTTGTTCATTAAATAAATATACGAATTCTTCATTCTAACTAATGAACTTATTAATATAAGAGAAAAGTTTCTTAAAAATAAGTCTATTAGTTGTTTTTGCTCTCGACCATAAAAAACTGTATCTCGATATGTGGTTGTTGATATGACTTTCATGTGTACCGGATATTCAGACCCACACCAACACCCAACCTCAAAGAGTTTGAATCAGGCCGACTTTCTTCTATATGTATAAGAAATGGCTCGAAAATGGAAGCCAGTCTTAAAGAAATAAAAAAAAAATATGATTGATGATTAATTTAATGAGCGTGTTATTGTAATGCCTTTTCAAAATAAATTTTCGTTCATCGATCATTTATATATATTATTTATCTGCACATATAAAATCACTTCATCTATTGCGCATGAGAATTTATTGGAATGACAGAAGTACGTCATTGGCTTATGTTCATATGAATTATATTCATCATCAAACCATAAGCAGCTTTTATTTCTCATCTCTTATCTTTTTTAGGCGCCTGTCTATATATAATTTTATATTGTATTCAATTTCTTCTTGTTTTGTTTTTGTATACTTCGTTCAGAATATTTCTCTTTTTCTCCTTTTATATAATATAGCACAGCTCGTTTTTTTTAACAGAAAATGTTGATCTTTATTCAATCTATGTTATTAAAACATAAAAGACATTGATCAACGTCTCTTTGTCCATTTTTCTGTTGAATAAAATAAAACTCATGCATTTATCATTGATGATGAGTGTTGTTCATTGTAGACAGCTCATTTTTTGTGAAAAACATCTCTACTAGATGAATGATTTTTTGAATAAGATAGTAGTTTGATTCATACTCGTGCTAGATTTTATAGATCTTAGATAATAAAAGAATAAGAAAATGAAGTTTTGTTCCAAGATGAAATGTTTTTACCCAGGGGGAAAAGCGGATCCTATGGGTTTCGATAGATCCTGAAGAGTCTCAAGGATCTATCTGGAGAATATAGAAGTAGGTGAGCATGAGGATATAGGAGTAGGGTGGGTGTAAGCATGGGGGCGGATAGGTGAGGGTGTGAATGTGGAGGTGGGTGTAAATGTGGCCGTGAGTGTATCTTATTTATCGCATCTGTACCCACACCCACACCCACTCTAGTTTTTATTTAAATTCAACAAACTATTTGCTTCTTTTGATCACATCTAGACATGAATTATCATGTATTAAATTTTGTGGCGATTGTTAAACGAGTTTGCATAGACAATAAAGATCAAATTTTTATTATAGATCAATTAATTGACTAATTCTATTGACAATCAATTTGTGTAGCAAAAAAAAAGAAACTATTTCTCATTATTCAAAAAAAATATTAGAAGAAAAATCATTTTATACAACTGTAGAATTTAAATTTAATATAGGTACTGTTGCATGCCGAGCATCATACAATAAACCTAAAAAAAGAATAAAAATTTATAAGAATATATATGTTACTATTATATACCAGCAATTGATGCAGTCATTAATGAAACCATATTACCAGCAATTAAAGCACGTGGTGCAATTTTAGTTATAGCTCGTTTTCTTGTTGGAGCAAAAACTCCTAGTGTTGTTAATGCAATACCCATCGAGCCAAAATTAGCAAAACCTATTAACACTTTTAATTATAAAAGAAAAACTCAAATATATTTACCACATAAAGCATAAGTTAAAATAACTATTGAACTATCCTATAATGAATAAAAATTAAAAAAAAGTTGATTTCATCATTCAAGTACTTACATTCCATAACATTGGAATATCTTCAGGTAATATTAATGTTCCATTTAAATATAATGGAAATGTATGATTTAATATAAGTTCATTACGTAATTGACGAATTTTACCAAGTTCTTGATAGGCAATAAACTATTGATTAAAAACAAAAAATTATTATTATAAAATATTTTTCAATCCTTACTTCATTTAAGCTAACTTTAATTCCAATAAGTTTTGATGCTAAAAGACAATCTTGAAGTGGAATACGAATTATAATGGAAAATGGATAGAAAATCAATCCAAGTTAAAATTGAAAATTTATTTCCGGATGACGAATAAGATTAAAAATCCATGAGATAGTAGTATCCGCAAAATGAAGAACACTTATAAATGCTATTAAATTAGCAATTAAATAACCACAAATTTTTAATGTACGACCTGCACCAGTTAATAATGCATCAATAACATTATATTGTTCTCTAAACAATAAATGCAGACGTCTGTTATAAAGGTCCTGTTGAATTTTCTATGATTTCCACTCAAATAATCTACCTATCAGATCAATCATTTTGAAAAACTATTAAAAAAATTGTCTAAAACTTTTAACTAAGAACGAGCTCAGTGTATTAAGTTTTTTCTGTGTGTAATCTAAAATCATACGGTAATGGAGTATTTTTCATAGCTTCCCAAGTTGTTTTTGATTGATGTGTTTCAGGTAATAAAAGTTTTGAAAAACCAAGTGCTCCAGGTGCAGCCATGACACTCGCAGCAATTAAATGATTTGCTGGAACACCAAAGAATATGAATGTTGCAAGAACAGATCCTAATAGAAGTTTTTGTGTGGAAAATAAAATAAAAGAATTTAATTTCAAAACCTGCCATTGTTGCGAAACCACCAACTAATACAGAATGAAGTTCCGATGTTGTCATTTTAGGTACTAATGGCATAATCATTAATGGTGCTTCACTCATTCCAACAAATATATTTGCAGCTGCATTCATAGACTAAAGAAATAAAAACTGATTTTTATTAGAAAGATATTCAATATCTACTTCAGCTGCAGTTGTATTTAGAGTTTTTTGCATAAACCATGCAATTTTTCCAATAACATATTGCATAAAACCCAAATAATAAAACACATTTATTACAGCTCCAAGAAAAATAATTATTGAAGTTACCTTATTGAAAAAAATAAAATAGTTTCTTTATAATATTCAATCTTCTCTAGAAGAGATATACTTTAAATACGAAAAACTGATCTTCAAATGTTTTTCCAAATACAGAAATTGCTCCAGCATCAGCATTACTAAAATAGAACTTGTTATTTTATTTTATATAAGATTATTAAATGATTAATTTACTGTATGAATTTCGATACTTC